ATCCCTAGATCCCAGACAATAGGGTCTATTGGAGAGACAATAGAGTCTATCGGATAGACAGTATAGTCTATCGATTAGACAGACTCTCCTCGCCCCACCGCGGCGGTGGCGCCAGCGCTAGGCGCTCAGGGCGGGCCGCCGTCTCCACACAGCTGCGCGGCGGGACTGCCTAACCGGCGCGTTGCAGGAACCTGTCGTCACGAAGCCCGGGCAGGCGCCCACCTGGCGTAGTAGGACTCTGGGACTCTAGGACTCTAACCTGGCGCAGGGCGACACGGTCACGGACGACCCCTTGAGCAGGTAGAAGCCCCAGTACTCCTTGACGTCGTCGCCGAGCCGGATGTCGCGCACGAGGGAGGACCGGCGCCGCCTGCCCCGGCCGGGCTTGCCGCCCATCATCCAGGCGCTGAAGCTGCCGTTGGCGCGCACCGCCTGCGCCTTGAAACCGCCACAGAAACAGTCGTGTAATGCGCAAGGGAACTCCCGCATTTGTGAGATGGTTAATTAGGTGTCATTTTCTCTGTAATTTATGAGTGCTATGTGAATGCAGGATTAAACTTAGTACTATTAATCCAAATCTATTTTTCAAATTTGGATTTTTTACAGGGGTCCAATGATATATCACTGGTAGTGATATATCATTCAGCCAGTGATATATCACACAGCTGGTGACGAATCATTGAACCCCACCCAGTGATAAATCACACCAGCAATAAAATCACTCGCCAAATTATCACTGCCCAGTGATACACCACTAAAATTTTCTCAGTGCGATAAATCACTCACAATTTCTGTAAGGGGCCTACCTGGCACCAAGTGGTGGAGATGTGCGCGTCCAGGACGCGCATGTCGGAGGGCGCGAGCGGCAGCGCCAGGTCACGGAGCACGGCGTAGCGCATGTAGAGCGGCCAGCCCAGCAGCACGGCGGGCGCCAGCAGGCAGACGGCGGTCAGGCGCGCCACCCGCACCCACGGCGCCGAGCACGCCGAGCACCCCGCCGACCGGCCTGACTATGGACAGCGTCCCGGCAATGAGTCTCCACAGTCAAAATAATCCACAAACACACCGAGATTCGTCTAGAGTTAGTGCAAACATGTACCATTCATAAATCGAGTATGAAATAAACGCGGAATTCTCACCAATTTACGAACAGTCGCAAATTAGCAGATATCGTCTGAGTTGTTTTCCTGGCCAAGTGTGGCTCAGTGCCAAAGCACCCTCACCGCTTGGACGGCTCCAAGGGGTCCGTGAGGTCCATTGGTATAAATTCAAGCGTACGCCGATTTTTTCTGTTCACGCGTCATTTATTCTGATTCTCTGATTTTTAAAACATGGTGTGCACTCATTTTATTTCGAGTGAAGTGCCCCTTGGACTGACCTCGCATCCCGCGTCCGCCGCCCCCGCCACCCCTGCACGCCCACGCCGCCCCCGGGCGAGCCCTTGGCTTCCCCGCGCCCGCCTCCTCCAGGTCGCTGTCGTCGTGCTCGTAGTCGTCGAACCGCATGGCGAATGTGCGAGACGAGACGACTCGGCGTCGTCGGCAGCGACAGCTTGGTGACCGATAGTCTGCCAAGTCTTATCTCAAGAGCCCGGTTTAGGCCCAAAGCGCGGAATAACACCTGACGAAGACAATGGAGTGGATCGGTATGGGTAGGAGCGGGCTGCACGTGCTGGGAATCAATGGATTGCCCCGACAAGCGGCCAGCCGAAGAAGCGTGAAAGGGGTTGTTGACACGTTTGTGGGGAAATAATGCTGAGCAAATATTCATTATTAGAAAAAGAGTCAGTTTTATGATTTATTTGATTCAGAGACATCATTCACATTACGTCACTTTTGATTGTAACAGTTCATCATCATGATTTGAGAAAAAA